TTCTCGGGTGGATGACATTTCTTTTCAGTGGTGTAATTTAACTTTTTTCAAAATAACGTTGGGTATCGATAAAAAAACTAATTATACGAGAAAAATATTTAATAATGTTTTTCAAAAAAGGAAATACTTTTCAAGTTACTGGATACTGAATATTTGTTTCTTTTTTGCGTTTTTCATCATTTGTTTCTAACACTTTCAAAAATATACATTTTAACGAAAATCATGTAATGAACAGAATTATATCAATTAAAATCTTAATAAATCGTTATTTTATAGTGTTTTAGGAACATTATTAGGCTAGATATGAAAATGGGTTTTTATAGTGCTCAAAATAAGCTTTAAAATGAGTACTTCTGCGTGTAAAATGAGTGAGCTATCATGCAGATAAAGAACGCATGCAATGTTTTTTTTTTTTTTCATTTAAATCAAATACTTTGAGTGCCATATCCACCAAAATTAAAAATAATCGTATTCAATCTAGAATTAACTTGGTTTAAGAGATCTTGATGGATTCTAGAAAATACCACAACTTTAGTACAAATGATTCTCAAAAAACTCATGATTTCATGAAAAAAAACATTTAAAAAAAAACAACCAATTTCTCATCATAATACCTCTGAAAGAATACGTATAAAAGTATATATATAAGAAAATTCGAGGTATTTTTCTGACTAATTATTATTGTTTATTATTTTTTCGTTACACAAATATTGATAGATGTATGATTGAGCTGTCCAACCAGAGGTCTTTCGAGCCCTTTAACCCTTCGCCGTTTTACAATAAGAGAAGTTACGGTAAAATTAATGATAGAGAAAGTTGTAGCTCATTTAATCACCTTTAAAATAGTGTATTACAAGTTCTGATAAAATCAGAATTAAAAGAGTAATAATCCAATTAATGCTGTGGATGGTGACGGAGTGCAAATTGTTAAAAACATTGAAATTAAGATAAAGATTAGCCTATTTCCAAAATATCAAGTAAATTGGAGCACAGTAAAAAAATTCACAGAGCAATAACTTTGTTGATTGTAAGTTGAATAGAGCACATGTGAACAGGATTTGACAAATTAATTCACTTCAAATATAAACTTAAGCAATAATGTATATTGATTTATTGGAGAAAAAAATGTAATTTAGATATTAAAATTACTAAAAGCCAGTTAAAATATGGTACGAAATTATAAAAATTATAGGTAACATTATTGAAGCATATATTTTGGGTAAAAAAATAAAAGGTGATATTGCACCTTTGCCGCGAATGCTATATATTAATTCTTTCTGAATTTGTTGTACTTTTTAAAAGAATTCAATTTTCAACACGTGTAACTTATGCTGTTACATAAATCACAAAGGCAGACGATCATTTTTAGTGTGATAAATTTGGAAAATCGATGTTTTAGTCGTGAATAAACAAAAAATCATTCATTTATACATCCACATCTACAGGTATGACTAAAAATACTATATAACCCTTAAATGAAATAAAATAAATTTTGCTATTGGAAATAAATTTGTTCTATAAATCGCAGTGTATAATTTTTAATATACAATTGTATTAAACATTTTTTAATATTTGTTAAATGAATAATTAAAGTGTTAACTGTGGGAATTGAGAACAATCATTTTATTTGAAATAGTTCTACATTCAACATCACTCATATATTGGTGTAAATAGTAATTCAAAAAACAGTAATTATTATTTTTAACTAAGCAGTAAATATTAGTATAAAAAATTGAAAAATTGTAGACATGAGTACAGAACAACGTCTGTCGGGTCAGCTAGTATATATATATATATATATATATATATATATATATATATATATATATATATATATATATATATATATATATATATATATATATATATATATATGATATACAGGCAGTCCTCGTACCTACGGCATGTTAGGTTCTCGAAATACGCGACGTAAATCGAAACGACGTAAGTCGAGACATATTTTTTCGTATGTTTACATGTAAAACTCAAGGGGTAGGTTCCACACGGACTCGAAATAATAAAAAAAACTGCATTTATAACAAAGGACGTACTTTATTATTAAAAGTAAGTTCTTAAAATAATTATATATTATGCACTTATGAAATTGCTAGTTATTTTTGGTATTTGTGTGTTATTAATTTTAATAATAATTATAAAACTTATACATATGTAATGATAAACAATAAATTAAACTTTTGGCTTAAAGAAACTATCAATTCTAGATTGCTTGGCTTCTTTCTTCTTGCTATCATACAGATCTTGGTAACAGTGATAGGCTGCACAAATTTTGTTATTAACGTTAAAACTTCTCTCAAAATTAGGATCATTTTCTTCAACAATTTTCATGGCATTCTTCAAATTTGCAAAGGCTACGGAAAGTTTTTTTAGTGTAAGTTCTTTCTCAGAATCACTAATAGAAGAAGCTATTTCTTGTGACTCGAGTGCTTCCTTTTGTACTTGTGCCTCCAATTCAATAAGATCTTCATCAGTCAGTTCTTGCGAATGTGAGCTTAACAGATCATCAATATCATCAGTAGTAACTGCAATGTCAGGGAAACGGTTAGCCAAATGAACAATGTCAGTTGTGATCTCATCGACATTTGGTTGATCTGTAGATGTAGAACTTTCAGATGGCTCAAAAAAAATGGGCATAACTTTTTCCATACTCCTTTTAAATTGTTGGGTGTCACCTCATCCCATGAAGTAGCAATATTTTTTACGCATTGCAGGATATTATAACTTTTCCAAAAATCTCTCAGCTCCATGCCATCATTTTCATTAGCCTTTACAGCCTGTGAAAAAGTTCTCCTGGGATAATAGGCCTTAAAAGACGCGATAACTCCTTGATCCATCGGCTGTAACAACGAATTGGTGTTGGGAGGCAGGAACACGACTTTGATTTGAGGATCAATATCGGCAATACGCACAGGATGGCCGGGAGCATTGTCCAAAATAAGTAAAGCTTTATAAGCCAAATTATTGTTTGAACAGTACTGTTTCACTTCAGGTATAAAATGCTTAGTAAACCATTCTTCAAAAAGTATTGATGTAACCTAAGCCTTTGGATTAGCCTTCCATATAACTGGAAGAGTACTCTTGACGTAATTTTTGAGAGCTCGAGGATTTTCAGACCTATAAACTAAAAGGGGTTTCAATTTAAGATCACCTTCAACATTCGAACCCAATAACAACGTCAAACGATCTTTAGCCGCTTTAAATCCAGGCATAGACTTTTCTTCCTGTGATATAAAAGTACGAGAGGGCATTTTTTCCCAAAACAAACAAGTTTCGTCCACGTTAAAAATTTGTTTAGGCGAATAGTCTCCACTTTCGATAATTTCCTTTAATATTCCAGGAAAACTCTGAGCAGCCACATGATCGGCACTAGCAGCTTCTCCTTGCACTCGAATGTTATGTAACGAATATCTCGTTTTAAAGCGCATGAACCATCCGCGACTGGCAGAAAAACATTTTGTTTCGTCACTATTATTCTCGCCACGTTTATTTTGCAGTGTGTTGATGATACTCAGCGCCTTATTTTGTATAATAGCCAAACTTAGAGGAACCCGTCGCTGAGTTTGATCTTACAACAGTTTTTCCATTTCATAAATTAAAGCATTCCTTTTGCGTATAATAGTGCTGTTTGAAGAGACGGAAGGAAGAGCTGTTAAGAGTTTTTCTTTATCTTTCAATATTGTTTGTACCGTCGTGCGTGATAAATTAAGTTCTCGTCCAATAGATGAAGTCGAATAACCGCGATCTTTGAGTTTCAAAATCTTAGATTTAACCTCCATTGTAATTGACTTTCTTACTCTCTTCTTCACTTTATTATTACTGTCTTGTTTAGGTGGCATTGTTTAAAATTCACTTAAATATGTATGTAAACACAAAAACTGTAAAAGATGCAAAAAAACTAATTTATTACGTCTTGATTGTCCGTTGTCCCTGAATGTACTAAACAAAATCAGCGACATTTGCGGGGTATTCCCCGCACGAGACGACACCGCGCCCCGCCCGCGCCCCTCACGGACATTGACCTTGCGACAAGTGAATTCTCCGATATGCCGGAAATCGAAACAAATGACGTATGCTTGAGGAATAGCGTCAAAACATTAGCTACCCATACACTAGCGTTCTTTCATGCAGTTCTTTCCGTTGACGGTTTTTCCTGTCAGATTACCAAAGGGAAAAAAATCTGTTGATCACCCACTAACACAAACTGTTTCCTACCATCTTTCTTGTCGTATTTTCCTGTTAGACTTGTCATCTCACATTCATGAGGAAAATAATCCTGTTACAGCACACTAACGTAAAATATATTTTCTGCAATCTTTCTTCCTAAAAGTGGATCTGTACGGAAAGCATGTTGGTTAGTGTGTAAATTTATCATTTTTAGACACATCTATCCTGACGATCGATCACTTTACTTTTGACAAAAGGATTTTGCTAATTGTGAAACGATAAATTTACAGAGTGTATAGTGCTGAGTACTAGTGCGGTTATATAAAAAAATATTAAATAATTTTCTATTTTGCATTATTATTATTTATGGAAAGAAGACGAAGAATTATTGCTATCACATGTGCTGGGTTAGTAAGTGAAGGCTTCGTTTTTAAGCAACAAAGAAAAAAGAAAAGACGTGCCTGGTCCAAAACATGGTTACTGCAACGAGCGAAATACGGCGATATGAAGCTTTTGAAAGAACTAAAAAGAAATGAACCCGACGATTTTAAAAATTACCTAAGGATGAGTGCAGACGTGTTTGACAAGTTGTTGAAATTAGTTGGCCCATATATACAAAAACAAAATACTCAAATGAGAGATAGTATACCAGCAGAAGAGCGACTTATTGTAACGTTAAGATTCTTAGCTACTGGAAGAAGCTACGAATGTTTAAAATTCAGTAGTGGCATTTCTCCGCAATCATTAGGTCGCATAATTCCCGAAACATGTAGAGTCATCTATAAAGTTCTGCAAAAGGAATATATGAAAGTAAGTACAATACCTTGTGCAAAAAGTCCTCTCTTTATTTTAACAAATACAAATAAACTAAAAAACTCATCCTAATTATAACAAGAAAACGTAAAAAAATTATATAATTGTTATTCACGACCTGCTGAGGAAAAATAAGCTCGCAAACCTTCCATAGGGCTAACATTTTCAGCAGGAGTAGATTCCGCTGTGGAATAATTGTTTGATAGGGAAGGAGACGGAAAGGAATTAGACGCTAATGAGGAATGGGCCGAGGACCCTGGCGACACATGAGAAAAATTATTAGAAGGATAAAGTCCTACATTACTGTAGGTTACATCTACGAATTCATTCAATTGACCCATTATTGCCTTATTAAGTACTTTAGTTAGCAATGCTTCAGCATACATCTTTTGTTCTGGGTTTACGACTTTTTCCAATTTTGCACTTATGTATTGACCCAGGGCATCATTTTCTGTTGGTTTGGAGTTTAGTGCCTCAGTACACTTTGCAAGAAATAATTTCCGCTCCCTGTCTTCACAGATTTTTTTGTTTTGTGCAGGGCTATGACCGTCTGCATTCCTATATCTCTTGTTGTTGGTGTTAATATTAGTATTAACCACTGACTCTACATTATGTGCTATTCCCTAAAAAATATTTATATGTTACATACTTCGAAGATAAGTTTTTACTTTTTTAACACATATAACTTTATTTTTAGTTTCCTACTACTACAGCAGAATGGAAGAAGATTGCGGAAGATTTTGATACCCGTTGGCAATTTCCTAACTGTGGCGGAGCAATGGATGGCAAACATATTAGAATCGCATGTCCGCCAAACACAGGAGCACTTTACTATAATTATAAAAAATTTTATAGCATTGTGTTGATGGCATTAGTAAATGCAAATTACGAGTTTGTTTATGCTGATGTCGGAAAAAATGGAAGAAATTCAGATGGTGGTATTTTGGAATACACTAAGTTTTATGACAAACTTATCAACGATCAGTTAAATATACCACAAACAGTAGATAACATCGAGCATCTCAACTTCGTTTTTGTGGGAGATGAGGCGTTTGCCTTGCATTCACATATTTTGAAGCCATTTAGTCAAGTGGAATTGACCTATGAAAAACGAATTTTTAATTACCGATTATCCAGGGCTAGAAATGTTGTTGAGAATGTTTTTGGACTTGTTGCTTCTCGATTCAGAGTGCTTCATACCGCAATTGCCTTGAAACCGGAAAACACAACATTAGTTATAATGGCAATTTGTGCTCTGCATAATTTTTTGCGGCGCAACAGTGCATCATATTTCAGTCAGAAAAGTGTGGACTCGGAAGATAAAAGCTCTCATGAACTACGCAAAGATGGGGATTGGCGAACTGATACTGGTGACTTTCATGGACTGCAGAATTTAACTCGTAATATGACTTTGGAGGCAAAACGCAGCCGCGATAGATACCTCCATTACTTCAACGGTGATGGTAGTGTTCCTTGGCAACATGCAATGGTGGCAAAAGGGAAAGCATAATCAAGAAATATATTGGTTTATGAGTAGAAATTTATAATAAGATTTTTCAATTACCTATCTAATTTTGTAATAAAAATGAATGATAAAATGATTGTAATGAACATACTTCGTTGGTTTCATTGCCTTCGTTGGGCTCGTCTATTTCCTCCACAGGTTCTTGAAATGGGCTATTTGTTGACTCATTGATGTTGTCACAACTACTGGTTGGTAGTTCATGATCTACTAAAAACATCAATAACTTGAAATACCACAAATGTGATTTATAATGTTCGTCAACACCTCTGCCTGATCGCTTTGACTTTTCGACCTTTAAATAATATTAAACTATTTACTATTTTGCACCCTTTTGGGACAGCTATCTATGTATAACTACGAGTATTAACAAGTGTATACTTGCCTTTTTAAATTCTTTGCGGAAGGATCCTCTAATTGATTGAATTTTTTGTTTTACTGTTTTGTGGTCAGCATGTGAATCGTACTTTCTCCAAATCTTTAGCAATTCCAAGTAGCCTTTATTTTTTAAATTACGGTTTTGGTATAGTTCTTTATTCTGTATCTGCCACAAAGCTGGATGAGCTCTATAAGTCTCAATAAATTCTTTCAAAATCCCTTTTGGGACATTTCTTATGTCACCTTTTTCACTTTTCTCTTCACAATCATCATCGTTCAGTTCGGTTACTTGAGTCAATCTCAATTCTTCCTCCATATTAATATTAATATTATTTATTATTCACAAAAAAACAATAATATTATTATTGCACAAGAACAACCCGTGTCCAACCACGCAACAAGAAAGAACAACGCGACTACATAACCTGCGCGAAAACTACGTGCCCACTAACTATGTCTTGGGCAGGAACGTCGAGACATCCCCGAAAGAAATTAGTAATGCTGGAGCGTCATGTCACGCTTCACTAAACACAAATCTTTCCTTCGGGAATCCCCTTTCCGTCAGGAATAACGGTTTTCCTAGAGGAAAGAACGCTAGTGTATGGGTAGCTATTGTTTGACGTAACTTGAAACGACGTAAATCGAAACGACGTAAGTCGAGGACCGCCTGTATATGATAAAATTGTTTCTTGGGCATCCATCCAGTAATTAAAAAACAGTTTTATTGAAAAATGTTTTTATTTAGAGAACATACGTTTCGGGTCTTGATTTGACCCATCTTCAGTGCTACAATTAAATATTTCAGGTTTACAAATGAAAACAATATAAAAAATATAAAAATACATAATTACAGACAAAAATAAGTAAAACAATGTATATGAAAAGTATATATGAAAAACAACCATAAAATAAACAAATGTAAAGAAACTCACCATACAAATAAATTTTGAAAAATAACACAAAAACACACAAAATTGCACGAAAAAATAAATATGAAATAAAAAATTGATAAAACGTCGAGTTCTGAAAATTTTTAAAAAAATTGTAAATTAAAATAAATAATATAATTATAAAAAAGTTAATTATGTTAATTATAAAAAGGTTTTATTATAAAAAGCTTTTTCCAAACGAACATGTTGTCAGTTTGGAATATGTATGACGTGTGTGTACGAGAGTAAAATGTGTGCGTACGTGTTTGCGGAAAATAGTGGAAACTGTTATGTCATTGGATTAGAGAACAGGATAGAGAGAATTTTAGTGGTTTCATATTACGAAGATTTTCTCAGCGATCATGCGCAGTAGGAACATAGAAAAAATATAAATGTGTAAGCAATCCATAATCAACGGTTAAACATAATATGTGGAACAAAATGAAAATATAGAAACACATTGAAACCATGATAGACAATGTAAAAATGAAAAAATATGTGATGAAGAGAAATTTATTAAGAAAAAGTATATTATAAAATATTAACTGAAAGCGATAATAGTTATGGAACAAGTTATTATATAAACAATTATAACATATCATATATATGTATATATACGCAAAACAATAAATGTATATATGTATACACATACACATACATATATATGCAAACACATGCACACATACATATACAATATATATGTAAACATATATATATATATATACACACATATATGCGTGATAAAAAACAATTCTCTGAAAGTTTTAGCTCTTAATATTAACGTTTAGATAGAGCGCAATTTAATCAAAGTTTGTATGGAAAGAGCATAGAAAAATTTTGAAAATTAAAAAAAAATCTTTTAGATATAACTTAGCGACAAATGAATGAGTTTTATTCATTCATTTGATCGCTAAATTACATCTAAAAAATATTTTTAATATTTTTGAAAATTTTTCATGTTATTTCCATACAAAACTTTAATTGAATTGAGCTCTATCTAAACGTTAATATTAAGAGCTAAAACTTTCAGAGAATTGTTTTTTATCTATTTGGAACCATTTGAGCCCCTGGGAGCAAGGAAATTCGAAAATGACCATTTTAAGGACCACCCTAATATATATATATATATATATATATATATATATATATATATATATATATATATGTATATACATGTTAGGATGTATTGCGCATATTGAAAAAATTATTCGAAGCATCGCGGTAAATATTGCAAAGAGAAGCCGAATCAAAACGTTCGTTAATAGCAGGTAAAATTTGTATGAAAATACTCTCAGCGAACCATTGCGGAGATGGCATGACTGGAAGAAAGCTCTCAGCGCTTTCATTGGGCTCGATATACTCTGCTATGACTTCATGGGCATCAATAATCATGTTGCTCCATACTTCTTTTAGAACTTCTCCAGCCTTCTGAAAGTTTAACTTCTCTAGATTTTCATTTTTTGTTTTTCCTTGCTTATCCACGTGCGTATCAAAGTGATCATGAGGAAGTACCAGACCAGATAATTCTCGGCTTAAAGGCGCAATTCTTCTCTCAACGCGATTGAATGCGCTTCTGCCAGGTGCATTTGTAACCACGAAAATAGCATCAAGATCGTTCTTGACAAAGTGGTTTATAGCTTTAGCAATAACTTTGGGATACCTCGGATTTTCGTCGGGCTCTCCATCAGTTGATATGAAAACCACTGGTTTCATGTGTCCTCGCTCATCTCGCATAATTTCTTTAAAATTATCGAGAGTTACTGCTAATCCAAGTCTACAGCATGAGTGGAAGCTGTCGAAGAGGAGTGTTTTCCATTTCTGATTGCTATATATGTTGGCCGTGAATATGAGACTGCCTCAAGACGGCCCATATCATTTTCTTTTATGATGCACCCAGCATATACGCTAGGGATCAATTTATGCCTCGAACCAACGACCCAATCTTGATCAGGCAATGGAATTCTGTAATCAACATGCATCAAGAGCGGGGCTTGCTTATTTGTCGCTATCAAACCTATTGGCTCCCGGGATTTATCATCCTGCGACAAAGAACACGCTGTTTTGGCCCGAGAATGGATGCAAGTGTCCCCAATGATCTTATTGTGGAGACACAAAAATGTTGATCGGGATGAGCCTTGTGGTGATCCTCCTCAGGACGACTCAATTTTACTGGCACAGTAGCAACATGCCTTTTACCTTCCAAGCTGGTGTAATTTCTCGGAAGTAATCGAAGGTATGCGCCACTTCTTGAGATTTTGAATCCTTGCTTTTTTAACTTTTCGAGCTCAAAATTTAATTTTTAATAATAATTAGGAAAATATCATAGGTTTTTACTAAAAAAAGTTTATTTTTAAATTATTACCATAACAAATATTTTTATGTTAGTTTCGTTTTAAAACGTTTAATTTGAAATTATTAACATAATAAACATACATTTTTTTTAATTATAGTTTATTATTTTAAAATATATAGAGTGACTACCTTTGACGGATACATAATTTTTGTCTATATTTTCCAAATTATTAAAACTGTTGCAAAATTCAACATTTATACTTCAAATATATAGTATATATTATTATTTATTAGAAGAATATTCTTCATAATGTTTATGCGCTACGTTTAAAAATATATAAATGCTACAAATGATCGATCGAACTGAAAAGTAAATTTTGGTTTCACGAATGAACGTCCCATAAAATAGATAAATATTAGTATTAACTTACCTTTTAGAATTAGCACAATAGGAATATTAGAAGACTTCTTTACTTTTTTTTTCGGCGACACTCTAAAAAATCACTCGCCTGTTATACAAAATCATCTTTAGCACTATATTTTATTTTTGCACTAGCCCACAGTTCATTAAATTGTTCTTGAGCATCACTAGTTTTTTTTTTCCTAGTTTATACTTTGCAAAAAGCTGTTTATACCAATCACCTAAGTTAGACATTTTCACTACTTTTCACCGCTAATTTTAATGCTGACCGTACTACTTATTAAACACTAATGAATAGGAGTGAGAGATTTTTTATACAATTATTCCCATGAAATTTTCTTGTACTTCACCGGGAATCTTCTTGTGCTTTCCCGAGATTTTTGATAGACGAAAGTGTTATTTCCTATAGCTACATGGTACCAAGAAAGAATTTTACGCATGTAGCAGTTATCGAAACAACATCCGGGATGTCGTCGACGACACGCCCACGCAGTGACTTTTATTCATTTTACAGCATTCGTAAAGTCAAGGCCAGAGTGCGTACGACTATCGGTCGGCATTACTTTGACGAAAAAAAAAATACAATCGTGGTATGCTACGGATACTATCGGTATCCGTTGATGAAAAAACAATTGCACGTGATATCGAGCTGTTAAATCTTCCACATTAAAAGGAGTTTTGCATTCGGCACATGTTGAACATTTACTTCTCGGTGACCCAAGTTGTAGTAGCAATAATCGGTCAAGATTAAAGTTAGAATTTTTTAAAAAATTCTTTTATATATACATATTGTATTGTACAAATCCATGCAGGATTTTGTATGTTCTAATCTTCTCCTTCATTTTGTTGGCTATTGGATTTCCCTACGCGATACCCTTTGCTAAGATTCATCTCTCGCAATACATAACCACAGCTCTCGCTGCAAATCGCCGCTTTGTAAAAATTATCTAAGCAATGGAAAAATGAATTATAATAATCTACATTTTATATTTAGTTAATGAAGTCACTTACCGAAATCCCGCACAATAAACCGTCTTCCTTTGACCAAAGCTCTCGGGTATAGTCTTTATCATGATTAAAGACGTTATTGAAGTCGAATGTCTCGGAGGCCACCAACACTTCGTCTTGTTGAATATAACTCTGAAAGTTTGAATTCAGAGGTGGATTCTGCCAGTCCATAAATGCGATATAACGCATCTCCAGAGATGGAATATATCTACACTTAGGAGTTGGAGTATGTTTCTCCAGTAGTAAAGCACAATTTGCGTTTTCCGAAAGAGTTCAATTCGCCTCCTTCTGTTAAGTACAATTTGCCACCTCGGATAGAACGCACTTATCAAAAGATCGGAACCACTTCCAATTAACGGGACAAAATTAAGAACATATTGACAGATTTTACCGCGAAGCAGACCAGACTACATGGTTATATAATTCGTTTGATTTTGCATGCACGGAATATTTCGATTGTTGCATTCAAGTAGAACAAAGATTCAAACTTGAATAATTTTTTGAACCATCCTCGTACTGTCACTTTTCTCTCAGGTGATATTGCATATGGTTCATCAATGATCTTCTGTAATGTTTCTCGCACCCTAGGATACTCTTTTTTGCACCGTAAAAGGGCTCTAACACGAACGCACCAGTGAGGAGGACACATTGCAATTAAGTTATGTAATTTTTCTTCAACCTCATCTCCTGTTGCATATACTACCTCGTTTTCGTAGATTTTTCTTCTCGCTGTGGAGAACAACACAGCCATGTTTGAGTTGATAATACCACAAGCCCGTTCTTGCAGTCTCGTATTCAACAATTTTTCGTACTCTTTTATAGCCTTAGATACAAATTCCAAACAATACGGCATATT